CTCTCTCTCTCTCTCTCTCTCTCTCTCTCTCTCTCTCTCTCTCTGTCTCTGTCTCTCTGTCTCTCAAATAAATAAAATAAAATAAAAGAAAATAAGACCTATCGCAGAAACAAGTTCCAGCATGATTTTAGAAGACTTTAACTACTTGGGTGTAGGGCTAGCTTTCAGGGAGTCAGTGCACCCTGAAAGCTAGTATCTCAAGTCCCATCTGTTTGACTTCTAGGAATGCCAATCTATTGCAGAGTTTCAGCGGCTCTACCTCGCCTTCGTGCTGGAGGCCTATGGACGGGACTCCCTAGGACACTGTAGCCTAGTGACCGCCGAACTTCTTAGACAGGGGATGTAATAATTTAAGTTGCTCTCCTTTTTGGACTTTGGGCCTCATGCAAATTGGAAGCTATACCAGCTTGTATATTTCAAAGCCCAAAACATTCTGTAGGGAACTTTGTACCTGGAGTATACATCTGACTTCTAAGTGGCACCGTTACTCGGGCTACAGGTTCTGTGGTACCAGTTCTCATGTTCACTAGAACACATTTCACCAGGGCTGGGGAGATAGATCAGCGGCATGAGCGCCTGCCTGGCGAGTGCAAGGTCCTGAGTTTTATTTCCTGTACTGCAAAACAAACAAACATATTTCACCAAGGGAAAAGATTTCTGTGTTCTAAGTCTGCCTTGTGGAATGCCCATGAGACATCTGCTCAATTACTTTTTGTTATACACCTTCATTAGAAATTACCCAGCCTTGTTCCTTCCCAGCAAGCTCAGGGTCCTGAGTTCAATTCCCAGTGCCAGAAAAAAACAAAAACAAACAAACAAACAAACAAACCAACAAACCCCAAAATTCCCCAGCCTTTATTCTTTCTCCTTAGTTCATGCCCCAATTGATATTCCTTAGCAAATAATAAGTTTTTCTTATTCTATCTCTGATTCCAGCCCTTCCCTTTCTAATCCACATAGCAGTATGAAACACAAGTCTGACTGTCATTTCCCGTTTTTAAAAAAAACTCAGCTTTTTGTAATGCTTACCTGGTTAAATGAGAAACATGAAAGATAATTAAAATGTAGAGTGATTAAATCTTTAGTCACAGTTACGAAAAAGAGAGGTTTGAGGGAGAAAAAATATCCATGCAATTAGAAATGAAAGAGGTGAAGTCACAACCAGCCCAGTGGAAATACAGAGGGTTGTAAGAAACTGGCTTCAAAAATTGGATTGTTTTCCTGAATTCACGCACCTACAATATTTAAATGTAATGGAATACCCATCTCCGGCAAAACTAAAAAAAGGGGGGATATAAATGAAGGACCATTTTGTAGTGAAAACAATATACATATATATCTCTATGTTCAAAATAGAATAGATACACAACTACTTTCTCTTAGTTCAATGAGAAGAAAGATTTGTACTAATAGTGTTTGGACAAGACATGTCTACATCTTGTACTATGAATAACTACTACGAAGACAACAATATGCAGTGTATTAATTATTGTAACTGTCTTACCAACCTGTTTTTTTTTAATATTTATTTATGTTTATTTATTACATTTATTTATTGTGTGTGTGTGTGTGTGTGTGGCCAGCTCAGCCCACCAGGGGGCGGGCTGGCTGGCATGTGGTGCTGGGGATCGAACCGCGGTCCCTGATGCTTTGCCAAGCTTGTTTCAAGTAGGTGCTTTAGACCACTGAGCCATCTCTCCAGCCCCTTACCAACCTGTTTTGAAACTGTCTCATTGCTATTTCTTTTTTAAAAAAATTAATTAATTAATTAATTTGTGTGTGTGTGTGTGTGTGTGTGTGTGGCCAGCTCAGCCCACCAGGGGGCAGGGCTGGCTGGCATGTGGCGCTGGGGGACCAAACCGTGGTCCCTGTGCTTTGCCAAGCCTGTTCCAAGTAGGTGCTTTAGACCACTGAGCCATCTCACCAGCCCCTCATTGCTATTTCTTTCTCAATAAAATTAATTAAAAAATTTATATTCCACTGAATTAGAGAACATAGAAGAAATAAAGAAATTCATCAACACATATGAATTACCAAACCGCCAAGGAGATATAAACACTGCAAATGGATCAACAACAGGCAGTAAAGACTGGGCATGGTGGCACACTCCTGTAATCCCAGCACTGGAGAGGCTGAGACAGGAAGATCAATATGAGTCCAAGCTGCATAGTGAGATCCTGTACCAAATACATAAAAATAAAAAATAAAGGCAATGAAATAGAGGCAGTATTAAAAAGTCTGCCAACATTTAGAAGCCCAGGGGTCAGTGTATTCAATGGCTACATCCTTAGGCATTTCAGGAAAGATCTAAAGTCAATACTCTGCAAACTGTTACATGAAATTGAAATGGAAGAACTACTGTTAAATTTCTTCCTGAAAGCTGGAATTACCTATATAGCAGATCTGGATGTAAACTTAACAAAAGCAGAAAACTCTAGGCCAAACTCCTTAACAAACAGAGCTGCAGAAGTACCTTACCAGATACTTGCAAACAGAGTGCAACAAATTATTGGAAAGATCACCCCTCATCAGTTGGCTTCATCTCAGGTTGATTGAACATTTATAAATCAAAAAATAAATCATCAAGTCTTATAAACAGGAGCAAGGAGAAAAGTCAAATTCTCTTATCAATAGATGCAAAAAAATCCTTTGACAAAAGTCAATGTCTATTTGTGATAAAAATGAAAACAGGAATAGAAAACTTCCATCTCAAACCGATGAAGGACATTTAGGACAAACTCTCCGCCAACATCATCAAATAGAGAAAAATGGGCAGCTTTGCCTCTAACGTCAAAATCATGACAAGGATGCCCACTATCACCACTCCTTCCACTGTAACACTTCAATCTTTATCCAGAAGAATCCAGCAAGAGAAAGAAGTAGGAGGGATATATGCGGGATAGAAAGAATTCAAATGTCCCTGTTCCTAGAACTCAGTGCTTTGTACTCATTCCCTAACTCTGTCGCCTCAGAAGATCTCGTCCTGCTCAGACCTGCCCCCTCCAGCTTGCCTGTCTTGTCTAGTAGAAAACCCACCATCCCTGTCGGACTCTACAGTTTCCCCCTGTATGTTTCTTCTTCCAAGGTGCTGAGAGGCACCGCCTTCTCATTCACAGACGACTTGATCCTTGGAAAACTCAAAAATTGAACTAAAAGTTTTCTAGAAATAATAAACAAAACCAACAATGAACCCATAAAAAAAGAAATTAGTTAGATCTTCTCATCCCTGGTAGCTTCAAAAATTAAGTACATACAAATTGACCTAACCAAAGAAGTAACAGCTCTCTAAATCAAAACTATGGTACTCAGAAAAAGGAGAGGAAAGAGAACTTCAGAAAGCATAAAGGCACCCCCATTCCTGGATAGACAGAATGAATATTATGAAATTGACCACGCTACCAAAAATGATATCTAGATTTAATGTAATCTCGATAAAAAATATGACACTTTTTATAGAACTAGAAAAATAATCCTAAAATTTATATGGAATCAGGCAAGATCCAGAATTGCCAAAGCAACCCTGGGCAACAAAAGCAAAGCAGGTGATTTGAATTTAGGAAGTTGCTGAAATAACTGGGGGAAAACATGTCCAAAAGCAAGAAATAGGACTGGCAACCATGGCGAGCCCTACCAGTAATGTGCAGAAGCATAAATCCACATGACATCATTTACTTTCTCTTTGCTGTTTAAACATTGTTTTCTTTTGGTATTTATGATACCTAGTGGATGCATTCATTATGGGGAGTAGGTACATGTACTCAGCACTCCTTAATCTTTGTTTCTACTTTCCTTCCTTTCTCTCCCCTCCCCCTGGATTCCTGGGTCATCTTCTCTTCTGCAAGGCTACCTTCCCTACCATCTATTTTTTTATTTTGCTTTTTAATTTTTTTTTATACTTGGAGTTTTCCCACATAAAAGAAACTATGTGATACTTAACCTTTGGATCTAATTTGTTTCACTGATCTCGGATTCAAGGTGCATCGATTTTCCCACCAATGGCAAAATATATTCTTGATGGCCAAGTGGTACTCCGTTCTATATACATCTTATTTATGTGTTTGTTAATGGATATAGAGACCCATTTCCAAGATTTAGACATAGTGAGTGCTGCTATGGCAATTGATGCTTAAGTATCATAGGAATATGGTGTCTTTAATTCCTTTTGGGAAGAAAGTATACGGCTGGGTCAATAGAATTTTATCCCCCCCCCCTTTTTCTTAGGAAATCTTCATGACAGCCTTTCTTTCTGGAGGGTCTTTCACTCACTGAGACTAATTTTTTTCTTTCTTTTTTTTGCAATACCAGAGACTGAACTCAGGATCTTGTGTGTGCCAGGCAAGGACTTATTCTACTGAGCTATCTCCCCTCCCCTAAGTTTTAATTTTGTTTATTCTGGATTTTAGTCATCTAATGAGTATCTAGCAAATATTTCTCCCATTCTGTAAGTTGTCTCCTCACTCACTGGATGTTTCCTTTGAGATGCAGAAGGGTTTTAATTTTATATAATATTGTTGCCATATGGTGCTGCATCTTGTGCAATTGGGAGTCTGTTCAGAAATTTCTTTCCCATGCTTATGGCTTCAAGAGTTTAACCCATTTTGTCTTCCAGTAGAGTCAGAGCTTCTGTTTCACCCTCTTAATACAGGGTGAAAGACAGATCTAAATTCATTAAGCGCCTGCCTGGCAAGTGCAGGGTCCTGAGTTCAACCCCTGGTACTGAAAAAAAAATTCATTCTTCTGCATGTGGATGCCCAGTTTCGCCATCATTTGGTAAAGTCACCATCTTGGCTATTGCCTATGTTTTGCACCCCTTTGTAAAAGATCAGATGGTGTATTGTGCCTGGGTTGTTTCTGCAGGCTCTGTTTTATTTTATTGATTCACATTTTGTTTTAGGGCCCCATGTCAGGCTATTTTATGGCCTCTACACCCCTCCGAGCCCTGAGGTAGCGCTGTCCCCACCCGCTTTTGGCCTTGGGGCTCACCTTGGTACTTCAAGAGCACTGGGCCTGCCTTTTCATAGTAGTATTTGCACCGTGTATCCACCGATGAGCGAGCTTCCTCCAGAATCTCCTTCTGGGAGTTGAAGCGCTCGGCGGTCCTTTGTCCCAGCTCGGTCATTGCTTGGAACTCGCCCACGTCGCTGTCGAAGCGCAGGAATTCCTCGCAGTTATAGATATGTCTCGCCACGAAGCGCAGCGTCTCGTTGCTCAGGTAGCATTCGCCCTGCAACTGGTACAGGTAATTCTCTGTGGGGAGCAGGCAAGGTGCTGACTCGGTGCTCAGGGTCCCCCTAGGCCTCGCCACCCCAGCCAGGCCGAGCATTAGCCTCTTCCCCCTCTCTACAGTCCCTGAAGCCACTTCACAGTGCCTGGACCCCGCGGAAGGGGCAGTCAGCTTTGCTCCTGGGCCAGTTCATCCCTGACCAACGCTAACAGCTGTCTTACTAGATCTTTCCTACTCAGGACTGAATCTTGTGCTATCAAGTCCTGTGGTCCTGGGTTGTCACTGAACCTTTTCCTCTCTCTTTTTTAATGTATTTAGCGCAGGGTCTACAGGGTCTCACCATGTAAGTTGGACTCGTAGTGATCCTTATGTTTTCAGCCTCCCAAGCGCTGGGATTACAGGTGCGCGCCACCACGCCTGGTCTCAGCCAGCATCTCAGTGTGCCCTGGGAGCGGGGCCTGCACGGCTTGTGGTGCTGGGATTGAACCCTGGCCCCAGCGCTCTGCCTAAGCAGGTGCTTTAGTCCACTGAGCTATCTGGCCAGCCTTTACTTTCTTCACTCCTTTCTTTTTCTTTGAGGCAGTATCTTACTAAGTTGCTGAGTTCGGAAATTAGTTGCCGAGGCTGGACTTGAACTTCCAGTCCTTCTGCATTCGCCTCGCAGAGTACCAGCGTTACGGAGGCACACCAGGTTTTCTCTGACACGGAAAGATTTACTGAGTGCGTGACCCACAGTGGAGGAGGAATTCAGTGGCTCTGGACAAGGGAGGGCGCACTGAGGTCAGCGACTATACTGGCCCTGGGGGAGGCCGAGCTACTTCCCGCGGGGTCCCGGGGAGGGGGGTCAGGGCCTCGCTAATGCCTGGGCGGAGCAGCTGCAGGCAGCAAGGGCTGGGACTGCACAGCAGGCTGCTTTCCCTATCCGGGTCCCCACCGGACCCACTGGGCCACACCCGGCTCACATGTCACCTCCTCCGGGAAGCCTCCCCTGTCTCTTTCTCTTTTCACTGCACTGTGCTCTCCTCTGTGTCACTGTGCACCCTGCTTACTACTTGTTTTGCAGGCTGGGAATGAATGTAGAGAAACTTTCTGAAAGTTAATATGAAGAAAGATTTCCCAGCTGGAGAGATAAGGCCTGTTTTCACTCACTTTTCGAGCATGGCTACAAAAAGACCTGATCTCAACAGGCGCGGGATGTGTTTAATCATCGAGGGCTCACAAGCAGAGACCGCCTGAGTGGACGTGCCCGCGGTGGCCCTCGAGGCACTGACTGACCCCCAATTTCCACATGGAGAAGTGTGGCCGCCTTCCCCGCACGCTGCTCTTTCTTTTCAGGGCTGCAGGGTCTGGCAGGTGCAAAGGTCGCAGTGGGCCCCTCCCTGCCTTCGCTGGCTTCCGCAGGTCCCCGAGCCTGCTCTGCTCCTGACCACACCGGAAAGCAAGGCCGTTTCTGTGCCCATGAACTGCACCTCACAAAGGGACATCTCAACGCACTTTGTCATCTCCTTTACATAGCATCTTAGAACTCTCAGAAAATTTTTCCTCATCAGTGAAGTAAAGCAAACAAATCAACCATTAGGGGTGCTCTAAACAAGCTTGTGAAGGTATATATATATATATATATATATATATATATATAGTTTATATATAGTATTTTAGGGAAAGGTCTACAGGGTGTTCAGGGTCTCACTACT